TGTCAGATGTTAAGTGTGCATCATCAGTTGTAGTATTGCCTGTAACATGATCAGAAGGTGCATCATGTGTATTTCATGGATGTTTGTGATCTCTTCATTTCTCACTTGGGTTTTGCTCAGTCTTGGATTTCTCAGTGTGTGTGAGCGAGAAAGGAAAGCCATGGTTACTGCTAGTCGGTAGATTGATTCGCCAAGGTTTCTAGTTTGCTTTCTCTGTGGTATTTGGCTCAAGATTGAAGTTCTTATCAGGTTCTTGATTTCTGGTTTTCACAGTGCACTTAATCTGTTTGGTTAAATGTTTTAGTAAGAAAATGCTCGCTATTTTGTCAACTAGTAAGGCCGATAGCCAAAGAGTGGTATATTGAATTTACACTCCGCTTGTTCGTCTTTCTTGTGAATCTTTTTTTGGGTTCTTCCAGTTGTTTGTGATATTTGTTTTCTAGATTCTTCATGTCAAGATCAATGTTTGTGATATTTGGGATTCTTGGATTCAAGAATATTGATCATTGCTAGATTGTGCAATTTGTATGGTGGTGTCCAGTTCTTTCTCTGCTTCATTGATAGTCTGCAAGTTTATTGGGTTTAATCTTTCTGCAACTCGTACTCTCCTTTATCACAATGTCTGAAGTATGGTCGTCTGAACCTCGACAGGCAGAAGGAAGAGAAGTCATCTCTGCATCTTGTTGCAGCTCGTCACCAGCTTTACCAGGTTTTGGAACTAGTGACAAGTCATTTGGAACATTTGACATTGAAGCTAATATTGATGCCCTATCAACGACAGAGGGGTCCCCTGATCTTGCCTCCATATGCATGCCATTAACTGGAGCAATTTAGGTTTCTATAATGCTAATTGAAGGAATGATGCAGTACTTTCTTTATTACAGCCTATACTGTCGAGTCTAACCAACTCAATTGTTAGCATGAATCTACAGTAAGTTCGGTTATATGATGAAGTTTGAAGAAGTTGTAAACGGTAAATCCCACGAAGGGTAATTCCATGATGTAAATAGGAAAATCCCACGAACGGTAGAAGAAGTTGTTAACGGTAAATCCCACGAAGGATAATTCCATGATGTGAGTAGGTAAATCCCACGAAGGGTAATCCTACATAGATGTTAATTTTCTGTTGTTGAAATTGTGAAGGTCGATGCCACTGTTAAGAGTAGTTGTATTTTGGTAAGGGCGATCTCGTGGTGCTATAGTTAAGGCTAATGCCACACTATAGTTTGTTATTTTTTCTGTTTTAAAGGCCAATGCCAATGTTAAATGAAGTTGATGATGGTAAATCGCACAAAGGGTAATCCTGCAAGAAATTGTTATAACCGGCTTGAGGGTGCGTTACAATTTTATAAGAGGTTGTTCTTCAATTGAAGCTCATGCAAGAGGCAAATGAATATTGAATTTTTGGATGGAAAAATTGTATCTGCAAAAGGTGCAAACTTCTATTTGGTTTACAGTAGCTACAGATGTGTAAACATCAGTTTGTGGGGCTGAACTTCTTTGGAAAGAACCAATAAGAAATTGCGCAGTTTAGTGATGCCAATCAGTGCTGGAGAAGTTGGAGTTAACAGCAAAGAGATGCCAAACAATGGTGGACAAGTTGGAGGCGAAAGCAATGTGATGTCAAAAGCTTCTCATGCAATTTCCATGCCATGGGCCATGGCACATATGTTTGCAGCTGATTGTTAATATTGCCTAAGGCCATGGAGTCACATGTTTGGAAGTGACTGTGGCTGGCGGGACCAAGGTTTCTGATAAAGAATTTGTTGTGTCAATAGAGTTGCACATGAGATTTTGCTGTGGGATTGCAAGATTGCAGATGGTTCAACATTGTGTTCAGTAATTGCATAAATGTTTCTCCAATCTCAAACTGGGTTACCCCAGTTGAGATTGAGGGAGAGTATTAAGGGTACAAACGTAATACAGTACAATTAGTAATATAGTTAGAAGGTTGTTAGTATTTGGTTAAAGTAGTTAGGATTTCTCTTATAAAAACTGTGTGTGTAATCTTCATTTAGTTAGTTAATCCAAACCCTATCTCTCTCTCTCTCTCTCTCTCTCTCTCTCTCTCTCTCTCTCTCTCTCTAAGATCTCTATGTTCATTCTTCTTCATCTTCCTTAATTTTCCTTTCAATTCTCAAACATTGCAATGTAGTTAACAGTAATGCACTAAGTTGGTTATTGGTTGTTGATTATTGATATGATATTATGAAATTAATTTTTAGGGTGAAAATTAAAATTAAAATTATTGATTATTGATTAATTAATTGAATTATTACATAATGTATACAATTATTCATATGATTAGTTGAATTGAATTTTTATTTATTGAATAATTTGTATGCTAATTGGTATTGATTAATTGAATTGTTGGTTGGATTAGTTATTATGCATATTAGTATAGTTTACTCTAGGATTAAGAGTCTAAGAATAATTGGGAATTACAAATGAGTTATCACAAGCATTGCAAAAGAAAGATCAAGATATTGTGAATGTGATGGCATTAGTGGAAGTATGCAAGCAAAGACTACAATCCTTGAGAGATGATGACTTTGGGGACTTGCTTCATGATGTAGAAAAGTTTTGTGAGGAGCATGATATCGTCGTTCCTAACATGGAGGATTTGCATTTTGTACCTGGAAAATCAAGGCATAAAGCTCCAAAAATCACGAACTTTCATTACTATCGTGTGGACCTCTATTTTCAAGTCCTTAATATGCAGCTAAAGGAATTGAATGATCGCTTCAATGAGGTAAACACCGAGCTGCTTCTTTGTATGGCATGTTTGAGTCCGGTGAATAATTTTGCATCTTTTGACAAAGCAAAAATTGTTCGTTTAGCCTATCTTTATCCTCAAGATTTTGATCGTATAGACCTCATGAATCTTCCAATTCAACTTGACAATTACATTCATGATATGAAGATACATAGTGAGTTTTCATTATTGAGAGGAATTAGTGATCTTGCAAAAGAGTTAGTGAAGATCGGGAGGTGTGAAAGCTATATGTTAGTGTTTAAACTTCTTACATTGGCTTTTGTGTTACCGGTTGCAACCGCTTTGGTGGAGAGAGCCTTTTCTACTATGAAGATTGTGAAAACACCATTGCGTAACAAAATGGGAGATCAATGGTTAAGTGATAGCATGGTTGTTTACGTTGAGAGAGATGTATTTGCTTTTATTGATAATGAGCCTATTATGCTACGTTTTCATGACATGAAATCTCGCGGCAACAATTGTAATTTGTTTGTATTGATTAATTATGAAAGACATTACTATATAAACAAATTTAATTGTTGCCATTTTTCTTTAACCTTGCACTCTTTTAAGTTCGCCCTCCCCCCAAGAAATCCTGACTTCACCACTGACTACTAGTATAAAGAAAACTAAAACTACAAGCACACATTAAGCATACTCATTCGATCTAAACGTCAAAATAATATTTCGTACGCTAATCTTAAATAAAGATATATATATATATATATATATTTTTTTTTTTTTTTGTCAAACGATTAATTTGTTAAATTATATGTTAGATTATAGAGCCAATGTGATTTGAACACATGTCATGATGTAAGGGCAATACTCATTTTCATCACTGTGGTAGAGGACCACTTACAAATAATGACATATATATGATTGCTCAAACTTTTTATTATACGAAATCAAATTATATAATAGTGTACTAGAATAAAAGAAAAAGGATGCCTCTATTTCTTTTGAAAAATGTGTTGCAAAACATGGAGTGGTTCTACGTTGAAACTTCTGCAAAAGATGTTTGGTTGTTTACTTGTTATACTTGAATGTTGTCAATTCTGGTATTCAGCTCTAAGCCATGATCAGTCTGGGAGCCATGGATGAATATGACTCGTTTCTTCGAGCTGTCATATTGTCTCACGGTACAAAATACATTTTGGTTATTACGCCATGCATTGTGCGCATAAAACTGATAAAATGTGTGCTGAGTTTTCTCATCTTAGTGGAGACTGTGGAGTCGACCTGTATTTAATAAACCATGACAAATGGCTCAATGAAAAAGTGCAGGCATTACCAAAAAAAAAAAAAAAATATAACTGGAGGTTCTTGATATATATTGTAAGTTGTGAATCTGTTTGATCGTAACCACAAATAAGGTGCAATTCTCAATTAATCTCCTCCGAATCTAGAAGCGGTGGATAACTGTGGTCCACCATCTGTGGTTACCAACCCATAAAAAGCAAAGTAAAAGAAAACCTTGAGAATATCCTAGTTGATAGAATAGGATTATGCATATATACATCAACTAGAGTGAATTCAAAATATGATTGAACTGAGACTGTTCGGGTGGGGCTAACCTCTATCTTACCGACCTACTAAAAAACAAAGCATAGTGAGCTTGACTTTTATATGCAACCATCTTTCCTAACCCAAGTAGACAAGCCCTTCAAATTCAATTTCTTAAATCAAACGTTTGCTTCAATTATTTTCCCAACACTAATAAACACACGTCAAAGATATCTAAGTTCTTCATTCAACTCTGACTTGTAACAAGAAATTTGTTCATTATTATCATATTGTCACCTAGTGTTACTATTAATTTAAATTATAGAATGAGTTTTATTTATTAATTTTAACTATATTTTACACACTTCATGTTTGAAAACGGTATGCTTCAATTTGATTGATTGTATGATAATTCATTTGTTTTTTTTATACAACAATATTGGGGAGGGAGTGATTTAGGTCATAGTCAACCATATTTATATCTCGAACTCGTCATCCATGAAAATTAAACTTCAGACTTTTCACTTACAAATGAAGATGAGTATGACTAAACTTTAGTACTAGCAGTGAAGGTAAGATTGTAAACGGAAAAATTTTCAACTTGAAACGATAGTTGTACCTATTGGGCTGAGCCCAACCAAATCAAATGGGCTTTCATACGGAGGTGAATTTGTTAAGCCCGTGAGAAATTTTGGGCCTAGACAAATATTTTGGTTTAATTCTAACTAATACGACTTACCGTTTGATTTGTACACTTTGAAACGACTACAGCATGTACTCACAATCGTCTCTTCCACTGGCCCATGGCGCCGTCGCATCGTCGTCCACCTTCTCGTTCTCGTCGGAGCCAGAGCCGGGAGGTGTAGAAGAAGCTCTGCTACAGCTCGTCCAGGATCACCACCACGCCTCCCTCAGACTTCGCGAAGTCACCGGTGAGTTGACTCAGTTCCCCCAAATCTAAATTCGAATTCGATCTAAGGGTTTGAAGAAAAGAAGCTGGATTATTGAAATTGGATTCGTTACGGATTAATTGAGTGGTTAATCGTGATTTTTTTGGCAGAGAAGGCGAAGAAGGACGCGATCAAGAAGGCGGCGCGTGTGGCGGAGCTGATGGTGGATGCGGTGAACGGCGGCGTGCAAGAGGCGTTCGTGAACGAGAAGCGAATCGAGCATGAAATTAGAGCTTTGGCTGCCACCATTGCACGATTCAGCAAACAAACCGATCACTGGCTCTCTGTCACTCATTCTATGAACACTGCCATCAAGGTTCAATTTTTAATTTTTGTTCTTCAATTTTCCTGCAAATTAATTAATTACTGTTGAATTTATAAGCATGGGTTATTTTAAATTTTAATTTTTGGTTTTTGGTGTGGTAGGAAATTGGAGATTTTGAGAACTGGATGAAGACTATGGAATTTGATTGTAAGAGCATCACTGCAGCTATCCACAATATTCACCAAGCATGATCAAGCTCATAAGCACATTATTTGTTTCACCAATTTTCATGTAAGTTTGAGTCGTGGAAACAGTCTCTTTGTAAAGTAAAAATAAGGTTGTGTAGACATTACTCCAATTCTCGCAAAACAGATATCTTGTTGGTTTGGGGTCGTCTTTTCTGATTATTTTCTTCTCTGTAATTTGTATAGCATCTGAATTGTGGAATGATAAATCTTTTTTTTCTTTTTGGGTCGTCCCATATGAAGATATGATAATCCACATTCACAATGTGCAAATTTGGTTTGAGGAAGGCATGCAGTCATTTTGTGCATTTGATTCCATTCTTGGTTTTTTTGAGAAGAAAATATTAGGATATGCAAGGCCTGCTTGCAACCCAAGTATATGCATATGTACAACACGGCATCAAGTCTCGAGTTTGGTGGAAGAAGTTTTGAGTTCAAATTTTATGGATGATAGAAAAAAAATTATGTGTACAACGTGACAAAGTGTGCTCCTAGTAGTTGACATTGGAATGGTCTTTCCAAAATTGAACTAGAATCAAATACGAATGTTGGTTTTGAAGAGGTCACATGAAGAGAGAGAGGGAAAATGTCAAATGTCAAATCCTATAAATTGTATCAGAAACTCTATCAGGATATAGGCATTGGACTCTGGATGGATTAGCTTTTGGCTCCTCCTGAATTGAAATATGAATGTCAACTTGTAATCAGAAACTAAGGAAAATGTCAACTGTGAATTTGTTTTTAAGCTAATAAGAATAGATTTGAAGAAAGTTGAGGTTTCACCATAAAATTAATTAGCAATATGGGGATTGGGAAGTAGATCAATTATTTATAGGCACATGTAAGGTCACTTCTTTACATGATGTGGAATTTGATACTCTCAACCCGGTCTATCACGTGTGACGAATTTTGAAGTCTAGCTCGTGAACAACGTAAACTGGGTGACGTGGAGCACATGTGGCCGTTAATGCCATAATATGGGAAATAGATCAATTACTTAGGCCACGCAAGGTCACTCATTTACCTAATGTGGGATTGATACTCTAAACACGGTCCATCACGTGTGACGAATTATGAAGCCTAACATGTAGACAATGGGACCTTCTCCAATGTGGGATTGATACTCACAACAGGATTAACCAATAACAAAAGTTGCCCGCATCGGCTAATTCTGAGAAAAAAGATTTAATCAGATGGGATTAGGATAGTAATCTAGTGCTAATCCTCTATTTAATGATTGACTAATCAGTACGACTTGGTCGATCTAGACTGATATTAACCTTGATTTCATTAAAAAACTTTATCATAAGAGTATAGTTGGTCACCTAATTGCATTCACTTGTTTTTAATTTAGTTCTGCAACTTGGATGTTTATAGAGAGAACCCTCATTTTACTGCAGATTGTGTGTTGGAGGAACGAAATTTTGGTTTCTGCATGTCCTATTCAATTGTCATCTTCCCAGAAAACAGACATCAAAGTCGTTGTAAGCAGCTGTTGTTCAATAGCACAATTAACCATTTATTTATCAAATAAAATTAGCTTAGGGGTTACTGATTAAATATCAGAAAAAGCAGGACTTTACCATATCTCAATGTTATAAAATTGGTTGTTTTATAATTAAATAGATGATAGGGTTTGGTAATCTTAGCAGCAGACTTAGCATTGTAGCAGCAGGAATTGTCCCGATAGAGACAGATAAGTTGATCCTTACACAGCAAGATATGAACACTCAAACTTTAATTTCCTATTTGTTAATCACTTTCATGGATTCAATTCAACCAATATATTGATAAATAATTAATTGGTTGAATATATAATTTTACACTAGCTCCTTCCATGCGTTTGCATATGCTGTACAATATGGGGAGAAAGAGCTTGGCCGACAAGAGGGCATGCCAAGTCTTGCAATATAATGTCAAAGAAAATCTTTACTATTTAAACATAATAGTTCGTTTTTCGGGTACGTAATAACATTATAGATTACACTTGCCATGATCATAGTAGACAATCACTAAACTTCAGTGTATATCAAGTTAACATCGTTGCTCGCGTGTAGTTTCATTCTTCGAGCAGAAAATAAAACAAAAATGCAAACAAAGAGAGATGTATTTTGTAAAGTATCGTATTTCTCATTTATATTTCAATATCGTAATACAAGACTTTATAATCCACGGCCCGTAGTCTTAATTAACAAGAGAAACATATAGGTGCAACTAGGGACGAGATCAGAGATTTGAATGAATGGAGGCATCTTCAAATAAAAAGTCGTAATTAAAAAGCTCAAGAATTTATTGAACAAAACACTTATATGTTAATCCATAAAGTTTTCTATACAACATATTACAATATCTTTCAACATGTTTTCATCTTTTGAAAGCATTGCATGACTACATCATTATCAATACCATCAAATATTTCTCTCAATAAAAATAACCATGTTACCATTCATCCATTGATTTCCTTTCCAATTTCTCAATCGATTCTTCAAAAATTTCATGGCCGAAAATACTCTTTCAACAGTGGCAGTAGCAACTAGAAGAGTTAGCGCCACTGTCAGAAGCAAGTAAACTAGTGGATACACCTTGTCTTTTTGCATTGAACCATTTTTTTTTCTTTTCAAGATCTCCAATCCCTTTTAAACTTGAAAACTCAATGCTAGACCACATATCCACAATGTAAGTCTCAAGTAGAATCTTATGTATCACCTGCTCATTTATAGAGAAGTCCTTAGGATAAAATGTGCAAGACGCAATAACATTTGGTTATCAAAAGCAGAGAAGGAATCAACTGGACATAAACATGCCAAACAAAGAAGAAACTCAGTGTTAGTCTTATTGAAACGATTGCTTAGTTCTTGAAGTTGCCAATCCAAAACAACACAAAATATACCAACACAATAATGATGCATATTTGTGACTGCTTGAGCTTGTTGTTGCCCTTGCCTTCGAGAAAGAAACATATCATCCAGATTAGGCACATCAACATCATTTTTAAGACAAAATTAGAGACTTCACCAAGTAAAGAATCCTAATCACTTTTCATCATTATCTCCCATCTTTGCTTACAACTTCCAACCAACTTCATGGCATTTACAATATCATGATCCTTGCTTTGCAATGCCTGTAACAATTCATTGGTTATTCCTAGTATAGTTTCATTCTTCACACGGATTAGGAAAATAAAAAGGCGTTGATGAGAGATGTAATTTTGTAAAGTATCGTATTTCACGTTGAATTTCAGTATCGTAATACAAGGCTTTATAATCCACGACCCGTAGTTTTAATCAACAGAGTAACGTATAGGTGCAACCTTAACATTCATGCACTGTGCAAACAAACAAATAAGTGAAGAATGATAAATATATATTGGAGGCTTTGCACACAGTACCTCCCACAAACCAAGCCTTTGATACATGTTAGATAACACCCTAAAAGCTTGAGCTATTAGGAAATGGACTAACAATGGGTATCAAGCTACACAAAATTGATATACATAAATAATTAACGACACACGAAAATCTTTGAACAATATAGTATCTCAAATTCGATCCTAGTTGATTTTCCTGCAGTCCAGTCTGACTTCTCCCTCGTTTCCAGTGAGAGGCTTGATGTTGCCCATCTTGATCATAGAATTTGCGAAGTCTTTTCCAAAAGCAGCTGAGTTCTTGCTGTAATGCTGCACCAACTTATCACTATCGCTACCATTACCCTTAAAGAGCTCCTGATCAGAGTGGAGGAGACCCTTTGATTTCAACAGAGCCTCAAAGTAGACAGTATCGAATCTCTTTGAAGTTGCATCTAGTGGCCTTGTGTTGTCATCTCCTCCACTTGTTGGGCAATTTTTTTTAGCCAAGGCTGCAAATTGTGGGTCTATATTGGTATCGTTATAAATCCTGGCACGGAAGGTGGTGCACCGAGCAAGTCCAAGGGTGTGGGCTGCTGAGAGCACAACTAAGTCTTTTAGGTTTAGACCATGAGCTTCGAAGTTTGAGAGAAGCTGTGGGAAGTTGAAGAATGGAGGAGGAAGATTTCTGTTTGCATCATTTACGCTTGCAGTTCTTGCATCCCTTCTTCCCAATTGTACTTTGTAAGTTGGGCCTCCCAACTGAAAAACAAACAATTTAAACACAAATTTCATTAAGGACATTTTGATCTATCGAAAGAAATAAGTGTTAGAACCATCACCACTTTTTTTTTTTTTTTTTTTCTTTTTTTTTGTAAAATGATATTCGAATTTGTGTACATTCTCAACCTCAGTTTTTGTTAAACTTGGTATTGAAACGTATAACACTGAGGCGTTATTTTGTAATACAAATTTGATTAATCTTGCATTATTAATGATATATGCACTCACAATGGAAACGGAATCACGAGCTGCAACTGCTAATATATCTGCGCATGAGACCACACTTTTCTTGCAAGCTTTGTCAACAGCTTTTTTGATATCATCGACCACGTTTAATCCCCTGATCGAATTCGCATTTGGCACGGCTGTCTTCTCACCGGTGAAGTTGGAAGTGTCATCAAGCAGAATTGACTCATCACACCCCTGCATTAATCAATAAACCATGGACATATATCAGAAAATAGGTTAAATGTACATTCACATGTTCACTGCCCCTGATATAATAAACAAATATAATAATTGCAAGTGAAATGCCTGCGAACGATCAGTCAAAAGCATAATTACATTAACAAAGCAGTCATGGAAGTGCAGGCGAACTAGAGAGGCCCCCATCCGTGGCTCGCGTTTGATGGCCCGCTCGACAGCTTTTCTGATGGCTGGTAGTGCCTGAGGGCACCCTTTCGTGTAGAAATGAGTAGTTAGATTTGCAGATGTTGGTTTCATACTAGTGGCAGCAACCAATACAATACAGATGATCGCTAGAAATGATCGGAGAATAGCCATGGCCACAGTTTAATTTGCTTGTAAAACTAATGAATAGTGATAATGATGATGATGATGATGATGATAATGATCAAGGAGTTTGAGTGCTTAAATAGAGATTAATTATTTCCATGTCCGCCCCACTTGTTATTTTCATCCTGTGTATAGACCAATTCCATGAAATATAATGAATAATTTCTGGTGAGGTCTAGTGTGTTCATTGCTGTGTATGCATGTACCTGTTCCATTTAAAAATTAACATGGAGCCTTAAATCTTATTCTGTCTTTTAGTCTCTGTGGCAAGAGGTGTAGAAGAAGCAAAGATATCGAACAGGCCTCTTTTATTTATGGAATTAATTAGTTAATTAAGATTAATTACAGTGGTTTGATAACTAACTACTGTAAAAGAGGATGCCATAATAACAAATAATCCAGCAAAAAAATCAAGGCACAGTGGAGGCTAGACGAAGATTGAGGGCGATACCGACACGATTAATTTTTAGAAGGTGGCATGAGCAGTCTGCCATTGAGGTTTGCACGGTAGTTTTTCTACTCTGTAAGTTTCATATTTTTAATTTCCTTGTAAGTTAATTGATGTAGTAGGAAATTGCATGCATTGAGAGCTGAATGAAGATCATGGAACTTGATTGTAAAAGCACCGCTGAAGCTTATTCATCAAGAATGATTTCACAGAAAGTTTGTTTCACCAAGTGTCGATGGAGTTATGAGTTAATTTTATCTATAAATTGTAAAGGCTCAGGCCTCCCAAATGTAAATTAATCTCTTAAGCTTTTCTTTAAAGTCTTTAATAATGCATTTCACATTCACAATGTGGAAATTTGATTGACAAGAGTACTTGTATAAGAAATAGGGTTTCCTTATGAGTTATTTATACACCCTTTACGTGCTTTTGGTTCAAATTTGAAAATATTGTAGGTTATTGGTTAAGAATCTAACTAGTATTTTTGCCAAAAATAAAAAAATTCTGGCTAGTATTTCACGTTTTCTATTTATCAATAAAAACAGTTCAAATTTTCTATTTATCAATAAAAACAGTTCAATGTCGTATAATGATCTTCAAAATGCATCATGTTTAAATGAAAATAGTTAAGTGGACATGATTGTTACTAGAGCACGGCATGAGTATGTACAAGTATTATTCTCACCTACTCTGTTTTTTTATTTTGGTAACAATCACCTACTCCGTTTCATTCAAAGTTGACAATGGATTATCCTACTTAAAATCAACTATTAAAACGTATTGTTGTTTTAGGTCACATGCATGCATGAAAAGAAAGATAAGCATGCCAAACTTGTATACAAGAAGCGCAGCATGGAAAATTGTACCCTGAAGGGTATTGGCTTTTGGCTGCTTCTGAATTGAATGTCAAATTCTTGTTAATTAATTAGGTTAGTATAACAAAACAAGTTTCCCTAATCCGTTAATTCTGCAAGGGATTTAGAAATTAGATGGTATTTGGATTCTAATTATATATAACATCCGGTTGGACTTTGTCTAAACGGTGAAATGGTGAAAGTGATCTGGATTTCATTAAGAATATTTATATATAGTTAATTTTTCACCTAACCATTTATTTGTTTTCTTGTTCAGTACTACAAGTTGGATTTGTTTGTTATCAGAACCATCACCTCTTTCAGATCGTGTGTGGATCAATGTCCTTTCTGAAATCAAAGTCGGTGCAAGTAACGTCTATTTTATCAAACAAAACTAGTCAAGCTCAAACATATTCAAACAGCAAGGTTGGTGATAATTAAATTAAAAAAACAAAAACAAAAACCAGGGGACATCCCAATCTCAAAAGCGTTTTGCGCGTGGCCTGTTGCTTAATTTCCATATGTCAACATTAGTAGAGACGTGCATGGCCTTTTGTGCTTCTCCATGATCTCTCTGTCTTCAATCTTCACAACAATGAGAATCTTGATCATTAGTCTTGCCTTAAAAATTGATATACTTCCCGCGTTTCATCATTTTAAACAAGTATCCCTTCCATAAAACTAAGGCCAACTCAATTAGATACATAAATAAGGCATGGATTAAATCAATAAATATACCATAAAACTAAGGCCAAGTCAAAGAAAGTGTGTAGAAACAAAGCCTGGATTAAATAAAAAAATATAAAATAACAGTTGTGAATGTTTGTAAAGTAATATAGGTTGCACTGCCAAGCGAAAAGAAAAGGTCAACTATATTTGTACAGAAAAATGCTCAAGTTAGTATATATTCTAAATTTTCTATAAAAGGAAATCAATTTTATTATTAATTATGAACCAAACACTCTAACGAGTAAAGGCCTAAGACCAACTCCAATGGTGGGTTAAAAGCCAAATTACCTCCTAAAATTTCCCCCCAAACCCACTCCAACCCAAGGGGAAAATTTGGGCTAAATGCTAAATGCTAAACCAATGCCAGATTCCCCCCGAAATTTAGCCCAGAAATCATAATTTAAAATTTTCAATATTTATCGGAATTAAAAATTTTTTAGATTAAAATGTTCATAAAATTAATTTACGATAGTCTACATATTTATTTTTTTTTTAAATTAATTTAACAAAAAAATAGCCTAAGTTCATTTTTTAATAATCCCGGGTCAAAATTTTAGGCTAGAACGGTTGAAGTAGAAAAGTTGTTTTTGGGCTAAAAGCTAAATTTTTCGGGCTAAAATATTTGGCTTTTAGCCCAACCATTGGAGATGGTCTAAAGGAGCGGGATGGAAAGATTTTTAAAACTTGTTCACCAAACAAGGTGTAAATTCACACGCCAGTTAATATAATGAATGAAGCTTGAAGTTGGCTTAGGTTCAAATAAATGATCAATTGTAACACTATTGTTAGTTCTCACAACTAGGGTGTATCCAATTACGATTTTGATGAATTTTGAAAGAATTCAGAAATCTAGATGTATATATTCAATTAAAATTTTAAATGAATCTATCAAACTCTATTAATATTCAATCTTAATTTTTGAAGAGTCTATCAAAATCTGATGGTATTCAATCTCTAGTTTTTTTAAATGTTTCAAAATCTAATTGTATTCAAAATTCAATGAATTTGTAGGAATTTAGGAGTTGAAGAATTTTGGTGGATTCTAGAGTGGAAAATATAATACCAAAAGCCCTCACAAATCATACCTCTACCCCTAAGATTTCATCGTGATTCCTCCCTCTACAAAATATTAGCAAACCTAGATATGAACGAACTATTCTTCTAGGTAAACATGTAAAGGTAACACACCACGAAATCTACAAACTTCTTTTTTCGATTTTTTTACCTTTTCTGTATGGCCAAATCTTTATCTTGTTTCTCTTCAAGGAAGACAACTTGTAATCAACAATGTTCTTGTCTTCTCCTCATGGCTACTTTTGTTTATTATTTGTTTTAGAGAACCTTAAATCTTGATTCAACTCAATTGAATTCTAAGCATCAATTCCCTTGCTTGAACCTTTTTTTATTTGTTCAATTTCTTGCCTGATCTTGGTATCTCATAATCACCCAACATATGTTGTACTTGCCAATACCACTCCTCTTCATCACCGTAGAAATCTTCCTTTCTTTTCTACTTTTCTTTTGGCATCCTCATTGTGACCTTTGACATCTTATGTAAATGCTATAAAAGCTCCATTAAACTCCATAAAAAATTCGTATAAAATTCCTTTTAAATCCACGTGAAGTCTATGTGAATTCATTAAATTTCATGTGGAGTTATTTCTATTAAAATTCATAGACTCCATGGGAGTCTATAATTCTATTAGAATTCATCAAATTCTTAATTGAATACATCCCCAGCTTCTTTTGTGTTATATAAAGAACTTAGAGCTAAGTAGTTAAGAGTATTTATTTCGATACCTAAACTTTTGGTTTTAGGTTTGATTCCTCACTCATCTTTTACATAAAAGTTATTATAAAAGTCATTAGCTTTGGGAGGCCTTTTAGAGTAGTTTGACAAGATAAGTAGTTTCGTTTTGTTTAACGGACTCTACTTATGTTAGGGAGAGCACATTTAGGATATCACACTGTAATGCATCTAAGGGGTGAGACATACTATATTATTGGGTTCTATATCATTACATAAAGGTGCAATGCGGTCTTTTGAAGTATGATCTCTACTTATGTTGATAATGTCTTTGCAAGATGTGTGTGTGTGTGTGTGTGTGTGGACCTTAATTAGTGCTCATTTCTCATTTATATATGTTCATGTATAGTATCTGAAGTCACAAATCAAACGGCTAGCTACTAATTAATTAATTAAATGAAAATTTTACTTTATCATAATCAACTTGGATTTAAATTCAACCATGGTTGGATCTATAACTTTCAATTCCTGATATTTTCCGTGTTCTGTATCAACATGGAAACGAGCTTGGACTAAAAAGGTATATACCATGTACATGTAGTATTCTAATCTCAAAGCCAATCTCCATATTATTCAATAAATAGTCCCTTTTTTTTTTGGTACAATATATTGCATGATCTTAGATTATGCTACTTTGCAAAATCATGAAAAACATATACCTTTCTAATCATGACAACAACACACACTAATTGATTTTCCGACAGTTCAATCTTAATTCTCCATCATTCCCAGTAAGAGGCTTGATGTTACCCATCTTGATCATAGAGGCTGAAAAGTCTCTAGCAAAAGCAAATGGGTTCCTGCTGTATTTAAACACCAGCTTATCACTATCGGTGCCATTATTCTTATATAGCTCTTGATCAGAATGGAGGAGACCCTTTTGTTTCAACAAGGAATTAAAGTAGACGGTATCAAATCTCCTTGTAGTTGCATCTAGAGGCAATGTATTGTCATTTCCTCCACTTGATGGGCAATTTTGTTGCGCTGAGGCTGCGAAGCTGGGGTCTATGTTGGTGTCATTGTAAATTCTGGCCCGGAAGGTGGTGCACCGAGCTAGTCCAATGGTGTGGGCGGCTGAGAGGACAACTAAGTCTGTTAGGTCTAGACCATGAGCTTGGAAGTTAGAGAGAAGCTGCGGGAAGTTGAAAATTGGGGGTGGAAGATTTCTATTTGCATCATTCAAGCTTGCAGTTCTTGCATCTCTTCTTCCTAACGGGACTTGGTAAAGAGGTCCACCCAGCTAAAAAACAACAGACACGAACACAAATTTCGTTAAAAAAGAATTACTGTTAGAATCGTCAAATTTATGCATCAAACGATATGACAGTGTAATATATTTTGCAT